AAGGGTAAATCGGTCATTTTCACTTTCTTCTTCCTTTCACTACCGGCGACGAAATTCGATTTCCATATGGATTTAGCATTTTCATTTCAGCCACCGCTTAACATTTTCATCCCACTTCTGAATTTCCAATCCTCTCCACTACCTCTGCTCTGCATTCGCGAGTTCTCTTATTACCACTGCTCAATTCATTTACTTTCTTTCAATTTAATGAATTGCGGCCACAGTATTTTCCTAATCTGCGCATTCTATTTTACATTGACGCGGTCTGTAAGATGTACGAAGTACGACGCGATCTGTAAGAAGTACGACGCCGAGAAGTAAAAGGACTCCAATATCTCCGGCGATGACGCATTTTCTCGCCTCTATGCCGAAATCGAGAGTGATATCGAAACCTGTCTTCAGGTTGACTCTCTGTTGCTGCTGGGTTTTGGGGCGGCGGCGGACGGTGGGTCGGTAGTTCAAAGAGAGAAGATCAACGGCCGGAGAAAAGAGTCGATTTTATGATCTTAACTTGTACTTTAGTTCTTAAACTTTTCTTGCAGTTTTGTTTGATTTCTTGCCTTTACAGTGCGATTTCTTCTAGTTTGTAATGGGCTCCTCGACTCCATTTACGTCGACGTTCATAAGGCCGGCGATGCCAACATACCCATTGTTGTGTCAGGGAAAGAAAGTTAAAATAGATGTAAAAAGATAAATTTTTCCTCATCATTTTACCCTTTCTGAACCTGGGGACTAATCCCTGTCGCATATCACAATTTTTCCGGCGACGGGTCGGCGATCGAGTGTGCCTTATAAGCAGAGTGAGCTTGGGTACTGCTTTTTTACCGACAGATTCATATTCTTCATATCTTTGTAAAGTAAAGCTTGAATGTGGTCGGAAAATCCCTATCCATGGTGCTGGCGCCGACCGTCAGATTCATATTCCGTAGCAGCGCTGCAATTTCGGTCGGAAGGTGTAAGGAGGAAGAAGAAAGTTACATGAAATGACCGATTTGCCCTCATGATTTAATAATTAAAAATGGGTTAAAATTTTCTGACGATATTTGGACGGCAATTTGGCCAGCAGGACTAAATGTGTTAAAAATTACATAGTTACGGGACTAAATTGATAGTTTTGAAAGTCAAGTACTCAAATTAACAAGACCACAATAGTTACAGGATCAAAAATGTAATTTTCTCAATTCGGCTATTTAATGCTGTCTTTATAAATGTACAGATTCCAACTAATATATCAAATACTACTTTTTACCTTACCAATGAAGATAATTTATGAGTAGTCGAAGGGTTTTTACTTTTAATAGTAGACCACTACTGAAATGTCTATATATATTTAGACATATAATGCCTGACCCTTGATATACTACAAACAATACAATGCATGCTGCTGATATTATAAAGACAGAAATTATTTACATAATTCAAGACTTATAGAATTTAAATTTAAAAGAACACCAACATTTAATAACATGTTGGTGTTCCAAGACTTGATCATCATGAAAACTCTTCGAGAGGTGTAATTCAAAATGTGATTGTTGCCTATAAAAGGCTACCTTCAGATTGTGGTGTCCATTTGATAAAACCTGTTCTGCCCATTACTATTCTCCATCTTCAAAATATTAGTAAAATGCCTTCCCTGTTCATTGCTGTCAAAGATATCCATCCTGTCCACAAGCTCAGAGGAATTAGAGTGCGTTGTGTACGGATCTATGATGTGCCTGAAAGGAGGGTAGGTGATAACATCAAGAGTATGGAGTGTCTTCTCCATGATGATCAGGTAGTTTTCTATAGCATTTTTATTTACTTCATCTTAAAGTATAGACATGTTTACACCTTCATTTTAAAATAGAAGATGTAAGTATAACAGAAGCATGTTTCCATCTTCATTACATTCCTATTTGTAAAACAGAAGTTGTGATTAGTTTCATTTTTTTTCCTATTAAACATGTTTATTTTCTATATTTTTTTTATTCACTTCATTGGCAAACAGAAGCATGTTTACATGTTCAGTGTAAATCAGCAATAGGTTTGTAAAACAGAAGCATGTTTCCATCTAATTTTTGCAATCACTTACTGCTCATCTTTTAAGCATACTGTATTTTCTATTTTGTACAGGGAGATTATATACATGCTAATATTCAGAATAAAGATGTTGTCAAATACAAAGATGTGCTAAAAGAAGGCCAACTCTATGAGATAAAGAACTTCTATGTTGTTACAAACTATTACCTGTACAAGGTCACTCAGCATAATTATATGCTGAAGTTCAATTATAAAACAGAAGTCAAACAGATCAACTCTATAGGCTTTCCACTTTTTATGTTTCGGCTAACAAGTTTTGTGTCTTTGAAAGATCCCAAGGAAGTGAATGACAAGGAGCTCATTGGTAAAACCCTAATTGTACTATTACTAATACAACTGCTTAGACATATAATCACTGCTTATATTCTTTCAATATGTTTCAGATGTTATAGGTCGTGTGGTGGAGATATATAACCCTGTAGACAAGATTGTGGGTGGTAAAGCCACAAAATTGATTGACTTTCAAATCTGTGATAATGCGTAAGTTTTATATATTTTGTTTTTTTTATTCCACTTTGATATATATTGACTATAAGATTGCCTATTTCCTTTCAGATTGCCTTATTAATATATATTGACTTTCAGATTGCCTATTTCCTATATTTTTAGGGTTTGTTTATTTATTCCACTTTTTAAGTTTCATTTTCTGCATACCCTAAAATGAATTTGTAATTTTAATAATATGAACACTAATCATTTGTCTTTTAGTTAAGTTTTACTTATTGCCTCAGATTTTGTCTCTAAAATATGAAGATATTCTTATGGTATCTAATAATATGAAGACTATTCTTATGGTCTCTAAACAGATTTTGTCTTTTGCCTAATTTGTATATGTATATTTCTTTTATTTATTATATTTAATTATTTTCCTTTTCTACCTACCCAAAACAGTGATAACTACTTGATGTGTACCCTGTGGGATTCTCATGTTGAGTCTCTACTGCCATACTACAATTCAAATTCAAATGAACCAGTGATTGTAGTTATTCAATGTTGTAGGGCAAAGGTGGTTAGTGGTGAGTCTTTGAACCTTATACATATTTCCTCTAATTTATGCAATAGACACGAATGCTATGTTTTTTATGTGTGTTTTTTTTTTTTTTGTAGGTGAGGTCAGAATAACATCATCGTATGATGCAACTAAGATCTGGGTTATTGCTGATTTTGATGAGTTCAAGGACTTCAAATCTCAGTAAGTATATGTAATGCATATACTTCCTGCCATTTATGAGGTCTAAATTAGTGTCATTTTCTGATTAAAAAGGTACACAACAATGAAATTCTTACTTGACTTTTGCTACCATTACTTTCAACAACTGGGATTGTTTACTGTATCCTATTTCAAATGATGCATCACACACTTTCTGTCCCTGCAAAACACATTTAGGAAACAAATAAGTTCAATTTGTAGTACAAATATGAGGACACTAGATCTAACAATTACACAAGGTAAATAATTCTTGAAATGTGATTTCTAAAACAAAGGCTAAATGCAACTAGATATATAATTTAAGCTATTAATTAGGGAACTATCAGCATGTCTTATAGCAATGCAATAAAATCATTAAAAATCATCAAACTGAGATCTAAACCTTGACAAATTATAAAAAATCTTAGATATACTTAGCTCATATGTTGTTTCTGGACTTAGGGTTTTGGACAATCATCTCGGACTCATCCAAGCCGAACAATTGAAGCTGGGACACATGTTAGGGTTATGAGAGAACAAAACCCTAAATCCAAGAATAGGATAAAGCTATTGTATCGGCTGATATGAGGAGGAAATCGGTAATTTCCATGATGGTAATTCGAAAGAAAAAGTAAATCGAAGGAAAGAAACAGATGATTTCATGTCTATAGTTTACATCTTTGGTTTGTACTCCATCGAGCTACAACCAAAACAGTTCTCGCAAACCCCATAGATACTGTCGACGACATGCTTGCTACCAAGCTTTCAGACAGAGTGAGAGATGTAAGGAGGAAAGCGAGAGAGGCTGACGAAGGCGAGAGAGTCTGACGAAGGCGAGAGAGTCTGACGAAGGCGAGAGAGGCGGAAGGAATGCGAAAGGTCGGGTAGGGTAGAAGGGAAGCTGGGAGGCCGATTTTATATTCCGGGTATTGGGTCGGGTTGGTGGGTCGGATTGGTGGGTCTGGTTAATGGAGTTGGTGTTTGTAAGTGTATTGGGTAAGTATTTTGTTTTGACTTAGCTTGGGCCTTATTTTTACCACTTATGAATTTATTTAGTACAATGATGTAATGAATTAATTGTTGTGTAATGGATTAATAGGATATTATAGAATACTTATGTGGTCAAATATTATTTGACACATAATACACAATTTTAAGATTCCATATATATTAGATACATTTTTTAATATATTCATAGAACCATATTTTTTGTCTTATTTAATATTACTTTTAAATTGAACGTACATCTTTATAAATAATATTTTTGCTTAGTAATATTAGAAATTGTGTTGTAACGGAATGTACTAATATAAGGCTCTAATATACTCATTTTATATTCATTTGCTTTATACACTAATCCACAGTCATTTCTAATTAAAAATAAGTATATACAAATTTTAAGTTGTCTAATCATCTCAAGACTTCAAAAGTTACAATTATTGCTCGATATCGGTACATTGTATAAAATAATCACACATTATGTTATTCTAAATCATCTTGATAATTATTCAATTTTCGTACTGATAGGGAAACAAATTGTTAAATAACAATATACTTTCTATTTAGGGTGCACACCATATGGGGGACCTTGGTACATGAATAATTCACCATGCTTATGTTATTAGCTCTGCGTTGATAATTATACTTGGAAATTTATGTTGTATAATATTGGTCTAATTACTTATATTGACTTACCTATATCTCAGAGAATTTAGAAAAAAATCTCATCAACAAATGCTGACGCTCCAGGTGGAGACGAAAGTACTTCAAGTATCCCTAGAAGACTTTCAACTGAATGTTGTTCTACTCAAAATATTACACCAATGAGTACTATAACAAACGGTAAAACTATTACATATTATAGCGATGTACATTTACAAATCTTTCAAATATCCATATATAATTTTTTTAGATAGCTGTTATTTATTTTTTGAATCTATTTGTCTATTACGAATTTTTGTTTAACTTAAATATTTATCTATGTGTAACAAAGGTATTTGCAATATACACTTAAGTGGGCGGAACATAACACAAAAATTCGGCTCTAAAAATTCAAAGGTTTTTATTTTGGGACACTTACAAGACTCAATATCCTCTGTACCAACATCTATATTAACTGGTAACTTTCTATACAAATCATAAATTTACGTTTTAATTTATTACGTTGATACTATAGCTCATTTGCTATGAACTTTGACAATAGGTTGTAACACACAACATAAAGTAGCAAGGCGAAAACCGTTCCAGGACATATCGAATGTTAATAGTGGATGCAACAAAATCCTAGACGGTACTAATTGTTGTAGTATTAAACCTTCACATGGCGTAAATAGGGACTTGCTATTAGCGTTTGAAGAAGAATCTCTTCCTGCACCGATGATAGCAACAGATAATTGCTCAACCAGTAATTCGTTCATTTCTATATATATGCTTTCTTTAGTTAAATATAGGGATACTTTAAGCCTTTTATTTCATTTTGTTAACTTTTTTTTTCAAACTCATTATTACTTTATTCTAATTTATTATATTCTTAGAAATTGCTTAACTTATATCAATTTCATGTATCAAATATTCCCTTGCCTACAAAAGCAAGTATTACTGCTACAAGTTTGGTTATAAATGTTGACGGAAAACTACAAAACAACGATATTGCTACCACACCTGCGCTTTCTAATGGTACGTTGCACAATATAATATTAGTAGTTGTTGCGCAATATTAATACCGCCTCATAATAGTCCCGTTTAATGCAGTTGAATATTGTGATTTTGGAGACGCTACAAATACTTGTGACCATTGTGGTGCGTTATTTTGGTTTGAGGAGAGACAAAATAAGACAGTGACTAAGGGATCACCGCGATTTTCCATGTGTTGCAATAGTGGTAAAATTAAGTTGCCCACATTACCCTTGCCACCCAAAGGTATCAGCGATCTTTTTTTCGGCAAATGTAAACTATCTAGGAAATTCTTACAAAACATCAGGACGTACAACAACATGTTTTGCTTCACATCAATGGAAGGTAGGGTGGACAGGAGCGTGAACAAGGGAGGCGGACCCCCTGTATTCAGATTAAATGGACAGAACTATCATTTAATGGGGAGTCTACTTCCAGAAGAAGGCAAGCCACCACATTTTGCCCAACTATACATATACGACACAAGCAATGAACAAATAAACCGTATCAATGCTGTGAGGTAAAGAAAATCTTGGCTTACTTATGTTATGATTATTTTGTTTAAACCAATTATATAAAGTATATATTCCTTTTATAATTAATGCAGGGATGGTTGTAATCAAGATGACATTCATATAGACATAGTAAATGTCATTCAAGGTGAGTTGGATCAAAATAATGTCTTGGTTAAGTCATTTCGTATGGCTAAGTCAGAAATGGATAGAAATCCATGCGCTGAAGTAAAGATAAAATTGCTAGGCAAGCGCAAGAAAGATGCTAGGACATACAATTTACCTGAAGTGTCTGAGGTAGTTGCATTAATAGTTGGAGATCTTGATACCAGTATAGGTGAGCGTGATATTGTCGTTCAAACTAAGAGTGGCCAGCTACAAAGAATAAGTGAATTAAACCCTTCCTACTTGCCACTTCAATACCCATTGTTGTTTCCATATGGTGAAGATGGTTATAGGGAAGACATTGCCTTCTCTAACATAAAGGGCAACGGTGGTGGTGGCGGCAGACAAAGGATTAGTACAAGGGAATTTTTTTGTTATCGCTTACAATCAAGAAATTCGGTTGTCAGTACAATACTACATGCGAAGCGGTTATTCTAACAATTTGTTGTTGACGGATATACAATGGTTGAGTCAGGAAGACTCATCTATATAAGGACACACCAAAAAAGCTTACGGTGTGAATCATATAGTGGGTTGACCGATGCTTTAACTAGGAGTGAAATAAATCCAGCAACTCAGGGGCGTAGGATAATTCTACCATCGAGTTTCACTGGCGGAGCAAGGTACATGATACAAAACTACCACAATGCGATGGCTATTTGTCGATGGATTGGATATCCAAATTTATTTATAACTTTTACCTGCAACCCAAAATGGCCTGAGGTGCAACGTTTCCTTAATTACCGTAGTTTGAAAGCTGAAGACCGTCCGGACATAATTTGCAGGTTGTTTAAGATGAAGCTCGATTCCTTGATAGCCGATTGTAGAAAGAAGCAACTGTTTGGATCTGTTGCTGGAGGTAAACCCTTGCACATTTTTTTAACGTATTTTATCGTGTTAAGATTGTTCTTTCTAAATTATATTGATTATTTATTTCATAGTTATATATGCCATTGAGTTCCAAAAAAGAGGTCTTCCGCATACACATATATTGCTCTTTTTGAAAAAAAAAGAAATGAAGTTAGTGAAGTTGGAGCTTTAGACAAGATAATTTCAGCTGAGATACCTGATGAAAATATGGATGTAGAATATTACAAAGCGGTTGAGGAATTTATGATGCATGGGCCATGTGGAAAAGCTAGGTTGAATTCTCCGTCTATGGTGAAAGGAAGATGTTCAAAACATTTTCCCAAGAGATTTTTGGAATGTTCTACTTTTGATGATGATGGATATCCCTTATATAGACGTCGAGAAAATGGAAGGGCAATAACAAAGAATGGCATTGTCTTGGACAACAGGTATGTTGTACCGCACAATAGACATTTATTGCTTAAATACAAGGCTCATATAAATGTCGAGTGGTGCAACCAGTCCCGTTCAATCAAGTACATTTTCAAATATGTCAATAAGGGACACGATAGGGTAACAGCCGAGTTCTACAAAACCAGCAATGATTCAGATGTTGGAAAATCTGTAGATGAGATTAATATGTACTATGACTGTAGGTACATATCACCCTGCGAGGCTGTATGGCGGTTGTTTGGCTTTGATATACAACTTAGGGCTCCCTCAGTGGAAAGGCTAAGCTTTCACTTACCCAATCAACAAAGTGTTATTTTTGCCAATGATGATCCAGTTGAGAACATTGTGAATAGACCAACTATAGCACAAATCATGTTCTTGGAATGGTTTGAGGCTAATAAGACATTCCCAGAGGCAAGAAAGATGACTTATGCTGAGATGCCAACGAAATTTGTGTGGAAGAAACAACTACGAAAATGGCAGCCAAGGAAAAAAGGATTCGCAATAGGAAGGATTTTTTACGTCCCACCTGCCACTGGGGAAATTTTTTATTTAAGATGTTTGTTGAATAAAGTTCGTGGTCCTACATCTTTTGCTGATATAAAAATTGTGAATGGTGTGCAATATGATTCATTCCGAGATGTGTGTTATACTAGAGGCTTAGTTGATGATGACAAAGAATATATAGACGCAATAGAGGAAGCAAGTCAGTGGGCTTCTGGAGATAAGTTGAGGAGATTATTTGTTACACTATTAATGACCAGCTGTACAGGTAAACCTGAAGCTGTGTGGGATGCCGTGTGGCAACATTTGTCTGAAGATGCACAATATCAAGTTCGGAAACAATTGCAAAATTCAGGTAGACAAATTATTCTAGCTATTTCTTTTGCAATTTATTTTCAGTTATTTTTAAAATAACGTAATAAAGCAAAACACATTGGTTTTGTATTAATTTAATGGTTCAAATCACTGCAGATTCTGTGTTGAATGACTCTCGGAAGATGAATTTTGCTTTGGTTGAGATTGAAAAATTATTATCAATGATGGGAAAGAGTCTTAGGGACTTTCCAGAAATGCCAGTTGCAGATTTTGAGAATTATAATGTAATATCAAATAGGTTGATACAAGAAGAATTGACATATGATCGTGTTGCTCAGGAGAAAGAGAATAATGAATTGGTTAGTCAACTGACAGATGAGCAAAAGGTAATATACGAGGAGGTGTTAACAGATATTGAAAGCAAAGCTGGTGGATTTTTCTTCGTTTATGGATATGCTGGTACTGGTAAGACCTTCTTGTAGAGAGCACTTTCATCCGCTTTAAGGCGGAAGGGTGAAATTGTTCTAAATGTTGCATCTAGCGGCATAGCTTCTTTTCTGCTACCAGGTGGTCGGACAGCACATTCTAGGTTAGCAATACATATATCTGTTAATGAAGATTCCACTTGCAACATAAGACAAGGCACCCCGTTGGCTGAGCTTATTATGCAAAGCAAGTTGATAATATGGGATGAAGCTCCAATGATGCACAAGTTCTGCTTTGAAGCCTTAGACAGAACTATGCGTGATTTATTGCGCTCCACAAATCCAAGAAGCTGTGAAATGACATTTGGTGGTAAAACAGTTGTTTTAGGTGGCGATTTTAGACAAATTCTTCCGGTTATTCCAAAGGGCACAAGGCAAGATATTGTTGGATCGAGCATAAATTCCTCATACCTTTGGAGATCATGCAAAGTATTTAGGCTAACAAAAAATCTACGCCTAAGAAGTGTAAAATCGCGACTAGAGGCCAACGGGATTGAAGAGTTTGCAAACTGGATAGCAGATATAGGTGACAGGAAAATTGGGAATACAATGGATGGTGACGCAGAGATAACAATTCCAGATAAGTTTCTGCTTAAATGTGATGATGATACTATTTCTACGATTGTTGATAGCATTTTCCCGTTGTTTAGAAGCGCTAATGGTGATTTATCATACCTTAAGGATAGTGCCATATTGGCTCCAACATTGGATGTGGTAGATATCATTAACCAATACATGAATGATCAAAATCCATGTGAGTGTAGGACTTATTTGAGTTGTGATTCAGTTTGCAAGTCAGATTCTAATGCAGATATGTTAGCGGATTTGCAAACTCCAGAATTCTTGAATGGTCTGCGGTGTTCTGGTGTACCTAATCATGCATTGACTTTGAAAATTGGGTCACCCGTTATGCTCTTGAGAAATATTGATCACACTCTTGGCTTATGCAATGGTACAAGATTGATTGTAACAAGGTTAGCTGATCACGTGTTGGAAGCAAAAATAATGGGCGGTACAAATGCAGGTACTACAGTTTTGATTCCAAGAATGTCACTAACACCATCAGATCCAAGATTGCCTTTCAAATTCCAACGAAAGCAATTTCCTTTGATGTTATCATATGCCATGACAATAAATAAAAGTCAAGGACAAACGCTCTCAAGAGTGGGATTGTTTTTAAAAAGACCAGTCTTTAACCATGGGCAAATGTACGTAGCTGTTTCAAGAGTCAGTAACCCTACGGGTTTAAAAGTATTGATTTGCGGAGAAGATGTAACATGTCTTAGTAAGACAACAAATGTTGTGTACAAAGAAGTCGTCAACAATGTTTAATCAATTTTCAATTTTGTGGGGATTTTTAATTTATTACATTTCTTAAGCTTTAGTACATACTGTATATTACATAAAATATACATATGGCCGTGCATCGCACGGGTGCAACTACTAGTTTATTTTAGTGACAATATAATCAATCTCTTATATATTATCTTGCCCGATATAATATTACATTTAATATTGCATTGATATACTTTGAATTACTTATTTAAAAATAATTATTGGGCATTATTCTACACGTAAAATAACTAGAAATTTAATAAGAGTAATAAAGTGACGTACATACTTTTCATCAACAATAATGAAATCATTGTCTTTTTTTTAATTTACATTCGTTGTTGAGACAGATTGTTTTGAGAGTTTGTCAAATGACAATTGTTACAATTCCTTCTTTCTAACTTTCACCCTCTAATTGTTACAATTCCTGTCAATAGAATATGATAATAAATAATTCAAAATATATAGTTACAATAGATATTGTTATAATAATATAGTAAAAATTAACTTACAATTTTTTTTAGAACTTTTCATGCATTGATAAAATTCTAATGTGTAAACTTATTCAATTGGAGCCAGTGGGATGTCAACATTGTCAATTCGTTAGAAATGGTCCTACTGTTTTAGAGTCCAAGTATAATTGTATTTATGATCAACAACTTTGTAATTAGGTCGCGCAGGCATGACAATGATGTAAGAACCATTTTGTCAGATAAAAAAAGTAATAGTATAACATTTATAAAGTAATGTACAATTGTACCATTATAAAAATATATACAAAAAATATCAATATCATAACAACCTAAATCATACCAATAATGCAAAAGTATAATTGAAATATTAAATTTTGTTCTGATATAAATAATCAAAAGAAGATTAATTAAACGATGACGAAAGAAGAAAAATATCAACAACAAAAAAAAAAAACTAATAAAAAAATTTCATGTCAACAATATTATTACTTGTAACTTGTAAAAAGTTCTAGACAATTTTTTTTTTTTTTTATGGTTTATAGCTTTAAATATCACTTATTCAAGATTATGGTGCAACATGAATAATCAAGAATGGTTCATGGTACATGATGACACTTTAGCCTTGTTTTTTTCATCTAAGTTTAATAAAATTATCTCCAAGACACGTGCATATGTCATTTTCAGCCTAAAATTGTAAAAGATAAGGTAAAAAATCCATTCAGATAAGGTAAGAAATAAAATCATAAGATTTAAAGCACTTCTAAAGAGTGCATAATGTCACCAATGAGCCTGATCCATCACAGAGAATATGCACTTAGCAATACATGTTAACAAAAACTGTTTAGACAATCAATCAAAAAATCTGATGCACTATGCAATGCATATTGTCCAGCAATTATGATTATCCGTTAACTTTTTCGTTAATTTCTGTTAGTTCACCGTTAACTTACTCATTGATTTCAATAAGAAAGGTCTTAGGTTCGAATCTCATCCCAATCAAAATTGGCATAATTAGTACTCTATTTTACTTTTATTAAATTAAAATAATAATTTAGTAGCTACAACAAAAAAATAATACATATGCATTTCTTTAATTTAGAATTATGTGTCTACAATGTCTTTATTCAAAAAAAGTATTCATTATCAATAAATTAAATAAGAGAAATAATTTCATTAGTTATATTGTATTTATTTTTCTCCAATATAAAAATTCTTTACATTCAAATTCATCAATTGCTTATATTCGCTACATTGTCCCTACAATGTCTTTATTAAAAAAAATTATTCATTATCAATAAATTAATTAAGAGAAATAATTTTATTAGTTATATTGTCTTTATATTTCTCCAATGTAAAATTTCTTTACATTTAAATTCATCAATTGATTATATTCACTACATTGTCTATTATCTTTTTTTTTGTGCACTATTTTTAATTAAATATCAAAGTTAAAATACAAAATAATGATATATATTTATTTACCAAGTATTTTATTAATACCATGAAAAAATAAAAAAAAAAGTATAATTAATAAAGCCAATCATATTAACTACTTGAGAGATTTGTTGACAAATGGATTATTCAAATCACACAACAAATTGAAGTGAGAATTACCTCGGAATGTCCTTGTTTGACAATCAGTAGTTAACGGTTAGCGTTAGCGGATTATATTAGAGAATTATATATCAACGGTTGGTAAAAAGATATTTGAAAAAATTAGCTGTTTAGATTAACATGTAAAATGACCTAAGGGTATACATATATTTAATAATAATAATAATAATAATAATAATAATAATAATAATAATAATAATAATAATAATAATAATAATAATAATAATTGTTTTAAAAAATAAAAAAATAAAAAAATATAATTAAGTCAATCATATTAACTACTTTTGGGATTTATTGACACAAAGACTATTCATATCACACAACAAATTGAAGAGGGAAACTATCTCGCAATGTCCTTGTTTGACAATCAGTAGTTAGCTCTTCAATATTAGTATATATTTAATATTTTATGCGTTAATTTTTATTTGGTCTCTCTTATGTCCCATATTTGGTTTCAACCATACCTATACAATTATTTTATTGTGTTGGTCCCAAAAAATGTAAGGTGAAAGTCTAGAAGGGGGGGGGGGGGGGGGGTGAATAAACTTTCAAACTTTTTCGCACAGCACAACAATTGCTAAGCCAGAGAGAAACCAAAACTCTTAACTAGATTGTTAGAGTATGGTGCACAGCGGAAATAAATAAAGATAAAGTGTGTGTGAGATTGTGATAGTATATCTCGTGAGAAGCAGGTAAAGAGTAGTAAGTAAAGAAAGCAGTAAAGAACACAAGACAATTATAGTGGTTCGGAGGAGGGGTAATCCTCCTACTCCATTGCTCTTATATTATCTCCAAGAGCAATTCACTATATCCACCACTTCTTGGTTCCAAGATACAATGAATTCCGTGATCTAGTGCTTTGATCACCAAGCCCGCACTAATCACGCCCAGTGACACCACACTGCTGCTTCGGGTTTCACGTCTCTACGCTACTATCCCAGGATTTCACGACTCCGCGTTACTTTCCCCCCGTCTTCCACACTCCGGTAGAAACGTATCCCGTGATCTAGTGTTTTGATCACAAAGCCCGCACTATCACGCCCAGTGCCTCCGACACTGCTGCTTCGGATCTCACAGCTCCGTGTGACAATCCAGGATTTCACAGCTCCGTGCTACTTTCCTCCCTTCCTTGTTTTGCTTCAAAACAAGTTTTGTCTTGCTTCCAACTTCGAGACTCTGTAGTTGATCTTCAATGATGCACTTAGTCTCTTTGATGAAGATGTAACACTCTTTGAAAGATTTCTTTTTGAACGCTCTGAGTGTTTTCTCTCTTTGAATGTATCAAGTAAAGCACTTGATTTTTATGCTCTGTTTAGCTCTGCTTTTAGAACTCTCTGAATATTTCTCTTTAAGCTCTTAGAGTTCTTTCTCACTTTTTCTCACTTGAAGATTTCTTTTGGTATGCTCTGTACCAAATGAGATTTTTGCTCTTTGTTCTCTTATTTCGTGAGCTCGTGATCTTCAAGTCTTCATATCTTCATCATTTTATAGCTCGTAATGAGAATCTGCCCGTTGGAAAAAGACGATCTCATTTTTGAATTCTTGTATCTTTTGTCAAAGATCTTATCTTATCTTCTGGCAAAGTGTCAGAAAAGATAAGCTAGCCGTTGGTAGAGCTTCAACTTCATGCAAATGAGTTCCCAAACTTCATCTGATATTCCTTTAGTTTTCTCACATTTCTTGGGAATATCTGGGTCTCAGTTTTGTGTAGAATAGCTTCTCTGATCAGCTCTGAAGTGGTTCTTGGGATTTAAATACTTCAAAAATATTCTTCAATTTAATCCCATACTAGTTAGACTAGTATTTTTCCTTGTGAGAATATTTTTACTGTAACTTTTTCTTCATCTTCTTCATTCTCACGTCTGGGTGTCCTCAGACTTCAAACTGGCTTTGAACTTCCCCCCGATTTGAATTTCTCCTTTGTAATTGACACCCAATTGCAATTGACTTGTAATTGGCACCCAAATTGAATTTTTCCATTGTAATTGGCACTCAATTGACTTTGAATTGTAATTGGCTCCCAATCTACTCCTAGTGCTTCAATTGCTTCCCAATTTGAATTGAATTTCTCCATTGTAATTGGCACCCAATTGACTTTGACTTGTAATTGGCTCCCAATCTACTTCATTGCTTCCCAATTTGAATCATTTGACTTTGACTTCGAAATTGGCTCCCAGACTTCTCCTGGTATTGAATTTCATCTCTATTCAATTGCTTCCCAATGTCTTCTTTTAATTGGTCCTCAATTTGAAATTGCATCACATACTACAACTTGAATTGACTTCCAATTTCAATTTTACATTGGCTTCCCAACGTCTTCTTTTAATTGGTCCCCAATTCTTCTTTTAATTAGTCCTCCGATTTGAAATTGCATCCCATACTACAACTTGAATTGGCTCCCAATTTCAATTTTACATTGGCTCCCAACTTGAATTGATGGCTCCCAACTTGAATTGATTCCCATGTGAAACTAGCTCCCAATTTCAATTGGTCCCCAATTTGAAATTGCATCCCATACTACAACTTGAATTGGCTCCCAATTTCAATTTTACATTGGCTCCCAACTTGAATTGATTCCCATGTGAAACTAGCTCCCAATTTCAATTGCTCTGAAATCGGCTCCCAATTGCTTTAAAGTATATTAAGACAAGATTATAGTGAAATTGCTTCTGCTTTAAAGTATATTAAGGCAAGATTATAGTGAAATTGCTTCCGCATAATAAATCAAGCATCTTACACTTCGTCCGTACGGTCTATTAGTTAAATCTCCAATATTCTTTGATGTACTTCTTTCTTTCCATAGATGCTTGATCTCTAAGTCAAATTCATGCAATCTTCCAATCTTAATTTTTTTTCACGAAAATTTTTATGGGAATTCCTTTTTGAGTAGTAGCGACGTGAAACTCATATCATTCATGCATCTTCATCTGTTTTTCTCTTTTGCAAATTAAATAATTTCCCGATCATGGTCTAAGACTTTACTAGACCTATAAAATAAAATTGGGGGTTCTACAAATACGGCATATCAAAACCATTACACTTTATTCATAACATATTGACAATTTTATAATCAATCTTGACTATATTGTCTTGCATTTGTAAACTCAGAATTGCATATTTTTTGATGAGAAATAGGAAAAAAAAAAAAAAGAATTGTCTATTTAAATAGGCAAATTTAACATTCAATTATCTATGCATGAACAATTCCAATATAATCTTGCCTTAATATACTTTAAAGTAGGCAATTTATATCCTACACCACGACGCGCGTTGCACTATGCGCCCAGATGCAAAACGACGTCGTTTTAATTTTTTTTTTTTTTTTTTTTTGAAATTTCCCGCCCCAGTGAATGGCAGTAGTTTTTTCTTTAAAAAAAAAACCCGCTGTTCAAGAATGTACATAATGTTATACTAGAATACACATAATTGTATACATGAATGTACATAATTATATAACAAAATATACATACTCTTTTTAAAAGATAATACACATAATCTAACATAATACATAATAAACATAAACTTTTAACATAATACACATCAACTATTAACATAATACACACAAATTTTCTGATTTGGATGTACATAATTGTATAAAAAGAATGTACATAATTGTATAAAAAATATACATAACTGTATAAACCAATACACATAACTGTATGAACAAATACACATAATCCCAGCAACTTCCTACCGCGCCTCCCAAAACGACGTCGTTTTGGGAGGCGCGCGACGCACAGTGCTATGTGTGCCGTGGTGTAGGGTATAACGATTGTTTAAAGTACTTATTAAAAAAAAATATTAGGCATTATCCAAATCGCATAAAAAACTAGTATATATATTTAAAGAAGATAGCGGTTTTGAAAAATAGCGTATTATTTAAAATTTGATACACTACACCGGCGCCTAATTTCTCTGCCCTTTGCTCCGAAACGTAGAAAACCCTATCGAAAACCCTGATTTTGCGAACGAGTTATCACAAAATTCAAACTTTTGAGCGAAAAATGTACGGATCGGAGGCAGGTACCGAAGATGTTGAGCGAACAGCTTTCAGGAAAGCAGAGAAGAAGTACAAATTGTACTACGATAACGGTAGAAAGTGCGACTTCTTAATTCGTCTTGCATATTTGGGATTCTGTTTATTTATTAATATTTTTTTCCTAATTATTCACACTGTGATCTAGGAAAAAACAGCCGAGGCCTGTGGATTTATCAGAAGTGCTGGACTTCAAGTCTATTTCAGAGCGTTATGCTCAGAGTGCTGAGCTTCCAGCAGGAATTTCTAAGCTTCAATGCGATTTTGATCGACCTGTGTTCTGCTTGGAAAGCCATCCTGGTATCCTGATTTTTTATTTTTTGCTATTTAGTTTTAGCAATTTTCATTTTTTTATTGGTATAATCTTCTATTCAGTATGATATATAAAGAACACAAAAAATATAGAAGATATTTTTAATATAACAAATCTAATTTATTGGTGCTGTTCCATCATGTTATTGAAATTTTGGGGTTGGAATTTGTAAATGGATATTTTCAAGATTCTATTTGCAGTATAATTATCACTCTTATATGTGCTTCAGTGAAATTTTAGGTCCTAGTAGAGATAATGATTGATTGTATTTTCAAACCAGGGAGTACTGATCTAAGGTGGTGATTCTCTGGATTGACATAAGTTGCATGTAGGATTTGCCTTTCAACTTTGATTGTGCTTAAAAAAATTTATAATTTCTGTGTGCAGGGTTTTATTTCATTCCTGGTGCATTAACCATTGAGGAACAGTGTCAATGGATAAAGGATAGTTTAACTAGCTTTCCTCAGCCTCCTAATAGAACAAATCACAACGTAATTTATGGACCTATAAAAGACTTATTTGTTTCTGCAAAACAAGGCAAGGTTTTAGTCGAAGAGGGGCCATCACATCAAAGAAATGGTACTGATTCTAATAATGATCCGAGCACAGCAGCTGCTCCTTCTTGGAAATTTTCTGATGTACAGAGTTTCTCATCGAGAGGAGAAGTATGCAAATCAGTGCCAGCCTCTGTTTTGCTTCGTAAATTACGGTGGAGCACTCTAGGCTTGCAGTTTGACTGGTCCAAGGTCTTGTTGATATTCTTCTTTTGAATTCTAATGGATTGCTTTTAATTTGCTTACCCAGTTTGGATGAGCTTGTTCTCATAACATATTTGAAGCGGCTTTTTAGAAGCCATTTCATATGCCAAACCCATCTTCAGATTATTTGAAGGACCTAATCGAAAGTGCTTAATTGCTTATCATAAAGCACTTTTAGAAGCTTTTTATCCAAACTGGCTGTGTCTTTTTATTAAGGTTTTCTTATTGGTAATTAATGCACAGTGAGTACTGGATTACAAAAGAAAAAAAAATTATCCAAATGAGTGTATGCGTGGAATGTGTGTGGCATGCTCTTTAAAAGAGACTAAGTAAACTAAAACCTATAAATTATACCATGACATGATACAGGTAACACCATAATCTTATATTTGTAATAGTGTTTCCATTATCAAAAGTTACATCTGTTGGGTGTTGGCTTTTAACTCTGAATTAGTTTTCTTGTGCGATATTGCAGAGGAGCTACAATGTTTCTTTACCTCATAACAAAATACCGGATGATCTTTGTCAGCTTTCTACAAAATTGGCAGCTCCTGCTATGCCTTCCGGTGAAGACTTCCAGCCTGAAGCAGCAATAGTCAATTACTTTGGTCAAGGTATACATTACAACTTAACATCTATATAGACCTTAGAAATTTGAATGATATTTCATCTCGAAATTTTCATTCCAGGTCTTAATTGGGCTCACATTCTTTGTTTCCAGACCTGCCTAATTCAAATTCTGAGCATTTTTTCAACTAGTTCTGATTTTATTTCACTATTCTCACTTGATTGTGTGATTTGTCCGTATGACTGTATTTGACAGACTTAACTTCCTCATACTCCTCTTTAGGTGACATGCTTGGTGGCCACCTTGATGACATGGAAAAGGATTGGAGCAAACCTATTGTGAGCATGAGGTGCTACACTTGTTTATCTCTTACCCTCTTACTTCCATGCAATGGTATTTGAAACCAAATGTAAGACACTGCTTATGCTAATGCTGGACTTGTTCTTTACTGTTCTCAGTTTGGGGTGCAAAGCTATTTTCCTTATAGGGGGTAATTCTAGGGAACATACACCCTTTGCAATGTTCTTGCGCAGTGGTGATGTTATTCTTATGGCAGGAGCTGCAAGGGAATGCTTCCATGGTTAGAATTTTTTAACTTTTAAATTTTATTTGTTATTACTTAATCGAATGTTCTATTTGTTGTACATGAAGGAAATGGAAATTAGTAATATTTGATAAGCAATTGCCGTAGAAAACCCCTGTACATATTGTCACCAGCAGTTGCCAAAATTACTGATCTTTCACAGTGGAATGATCATTTTTGCGATTTTTTCTATTGATGGTTTGCATTGGTCACTTCTTATTGTCACTGGAAACTGGATAAGTTTAACCATCTCTAAGTTTTGTAGGCGTTCCCAGGATCTTCACTGATAAGGAACATGCTGAAATATCAGAACTCGAGTTACACTTTTCTGATGAAGATGACTCTTTCTTGGAATATGTGAGGGCTTCCAGAGTAAACATCAATATCAGACAAGTATTTTGATGATTTCATAATTTCTGGATCACCATATTCTGAGGGACAAGCAGCATAACCTTCATCTCAAGAGCTAAGAAGCAGAGAGTTCTTAAGCCCTGGACAAGCTGCTGTGCAAAGATTGTATTTTTTATTTTTCCCAATCACCAGTATGGCCAGTTTTGACTCACGATTATCAGAGAGGATCTCACTGTGTTGCACTTGATTTTATATATTATTATAGAGCAAATTACACTTTTGGTCCTATGACTATAGGGGGGCGTGTTAATTTCAGTCCATGACTTTTAAAACTAATAATTTAGTCCTTTAACTATGTTTTTTTTAACAGATTTGTTCTTTCCGGCCAAATCACCGGTGGAAATTGACCGGAAAAATTTAAACCTTTTTAAAATTTTCATCTATGAGGGTAAAATGGTCAGTTCATCCTCATTTCTTCTTCTTCCTTGCTGCGCCTGCTTTCATTCCACAGACCTTTCAAAAATACGAACTAAGTGGTCTCAATGCAATTAGGAAATAATGCACAACAAGGAAACAACCATAGAAATAGCCCATGACTGTAAAAAAGCACACGACATCCCACTTACCACGGTGAGCCCACCTCTGCGCCGACCGCCGCTTAGCAGAAACCCGAGAAGCAAATCCAGCCGCCGCCACACCCAACGCATCACGAACCGCCAGAGGGAGGAGTGCACCTGATCGACCGCCGCTTGAACTTCCCAGACGACGCCGTGAAGCGGTCTGAACCTACCGAACCCGGAGTCGACGACAAAAACGGATACCCGGACGCCCTCCTCTTCGATCGACGACTGCCAGTCGACCTAGCCATCACTAGCAACTAGTCGCAAGAACCACGGGCGAGGAAGATGAGATCACACCACAATGAAGAAGAAGAAATGAGGATGAACTGACCATTTTATCCTCATAAATAAAAAAATTTAAAAGGTTTAAATTTTTCCGGTCAATTTCCACCGGTGATTTGGCCGGAAGGACCAAATCTGTTAAAAAAAACATAGTTAAAGGACTAAATTGTTAGTTTTAAAAAGAGTTAATACCCAAAATGGTCCCTCGACTATGCCATAATTACCAATTTGGTCCTCAACTACCATTCTTACCCAATTAAGTCCTCAACTATGTAACTTTTACTTAATTAAGTCCTCAACTATACAATTCTTACCCAATTTAGTCCTCAACTATATAATTTTTACCCAATTTAGTCCTCTGTATTAATTTGACTGTTTGTTGACTGTCAAAAGTCGGGATAAAATTATAATTTTACAAGATTTCTCCTTCCTCTCCATTTAGCAGCGCCAAACCATGCAGCAATACACTCCGATCAGATTTCGATCGCCAAAAAATCGTTGGAAATCAAATTCATGGGCTATCCGATGCATAACCACTACTTCGATACTGACAGGTTTAGAACCCAACCGGAGCTTATTGCTACATGGTTTGGCGCTGCTAAATGAGGAGGAAGGAGAAAACTTGTAAAATTACAACTTTATTTCCACTTTTGACAATCAACAAACAGTCAAATTGACAAAGGACTAAATTGGGTAAAAATTGTATAGTTGAGGACTTAATTGGATAAGAATGATAGTCGAGGACTAAATTGGTAATTACGACATAATCGAGGGACTATTTTAGATATTAACTCTTTTAAAAATCACGGACTGAAATTAACATGCCCCTATAGTTATAGGACCAAAAGTCTAATTTGCTCTATTATTATATCAAAAGATTGCCTTTTTTTTTTCATTTTAAAAATTATAATCCTGAGTTTTACATATTACCTTCACAGAGGCTCTGTAGATTTTGGAGCAAGATAAAAATGTAATTTTTTTTTTTTTTTGGGTATGCCTGCGATAGGAGTTCACGCCCTGCCTAAGTGATCCTCTGAGTCATCGCCCTTCCAGCATCTGCCTGTCGGGGGTCCTCCAGAATCGTAGTTCCTGATCTCGTATTTTGCCCAAGGTTCGCCAACCAGTTTGCACATTTATTCTCTTTTCGAAACACATGCGAGACTAAAAATGTACTCTAAAATAACAAATGTACTCTTAGAATAGACTATATAACAATTGGAAAATGATATACTTTACAGAGCAACAGAGAACTGGGAAAAGTTGGGATTGTAAATAAAGAGTCTTACAGTAGTAGAACATGGAAGGTTCAGAAATTAAGATTAAAAAAGGAAAAATTGTAATTTATGCCTCTTCCAAATATGTCAATTATCAATGTCACTCCATGTTTATTAGTGGTGTAAATGTTACTTCTCAATTTTTAAAACGTGACATATTGCCCCTCTCCTAATAGGAAGAAGGAGAAATATTGTTGTCAGTGGAAGGAGAACAAACGAAGAAAGAAAAATGGAAGAAAACAAAATGTGATTTTTGAAGAGGGAAAACGGCGAGTAACCACATTTATACCACTAATAATTCAGGAGAGGGGTAATATATCTCACATTTTTAAAATTGAGAAGCAACATTTACACCACTAATAATTTAGGAGTAACACTGATAATTGACATTTGTGAGATACATAAATTACAATTTTTCCTTTTATAAAACAAAATAATGTGGAGAGTGGAATTTGAACTCACACCCTTTCGGACCAAAACCTTAATCTGGCACCTTAGATCAACTCGGTTATCTCCACATGCTAATGCTTTATGATATATACTCCTTCCATCGCATTTTATGTGTCTGGTTCGTTTAACAAGGCTTGAGTGAAATTATTTCTAATTCAAATTTTCATAATATTAAGTTTAGTATTAGTATAGAAAATTTATGTATTTAGAAACTACACTAAAAGTACTATTAAACACAAAAACAATCAAATTTAAAAATGAGTAAAAAAAACTTGAGAAAATAAATAAAAATAAAGATTTGGTTTGACTAATAAATAATAAGTAGGACAGATAAAATGGAACGAGTACTATTTTGTAATAAATGTTTTAGTAAGTTTCCAACATATCTCTATACACCTTCTCAAACGAATGCTGCCAATGTTTGGAGGGGTTTTAGATAGTGATGACAATCTTAACCTGAAATTATAGACTGGTAAAATGTGTAGCAATGTAGCATAACCTAAAAGGTTAATAATTAAAAAAAAAAAAATTGACAATTGTTGTGAATAATAACAATAACAACACTAATATTATGAAGTAGAAGGGGAACATCAGTACGGATGAGAGAGTTGAGAGAATATGATTAGCTTTTCATATATTCTACATGTACAAGATCATAGTGGAAAGGGGTATTTATAGTGTTGAGATTTAGGAGATAATAAATATTAAATTTGCATAAGATGGACAGGTAGCAAAGCTAGTCTAGTTGGTAGCTGAGGAGGTAGCATTGCTCTGTCATGCTTGAGGTCCTGAGCTCCATTCCCTGCAGTTGCTTCTCGGAACTTGCAATCAGCTTTTTGGAGAATTGTGAACCGCCATATAGTGTAACAAAGAGAAGACTTAGCAGCAAGTATAACTTATGGTCGAAGTAGTTGGGTGGAGAAGACTTCATCTTTTATACACAAGGTCAAGGGTTCAAAACTCAACTTGGACATTCACATTTCTTTTTGTTTCATAACAACAATGATTTATTTTATTGTAAGAATATTCAAAATAGACAGAAAGTGGGAAGAAAAGCCAGTCATCTTCTCATTCATGGTTAGAATTCTTATACAAAGGTATCACCAAATATAAAGTAATTACAATACATATAAAATGTAGTAATCTATCAATTACAACTACTACCATATATATAATAATGTTCATAATAATAATATTTATAACACTCCCCCTTGGATATTATTTGACATGATCCTGTCTTGTAAAAACTTGCTAGGAAAACCTTGTGAGAAAAACCTAGACAATAGAAATATACATATATATTCATGCCTCGTTAAAAACTTTACTAGGAAAACCTCGTTGGAAAAACCTAGTTGAAGAAAAGAGTACATGATATTTGTAAGAACATATACTGTATTGATTGCCTCATTAAAAACCTTAACTTAAGAAAACCCTGTGGGAAAAACTTAGTTAAGGGAAAAAGAGTACAATCATAAGCCTTCAAGGCATAATCGGCGTAATCTTCAGGATTTTGGGATTTGTCTACTTAAGCAATTATTTTGCAATATTTTCCCATTTATGTTACTATATCATACTCATGCCTTGTTAAAAACTTCACTAGAAAACGCAGTGGGAAAAAGTAGTTGAGGAAAAGAGTGCATGATGTATGTTTATCCTTGTTTTAGATTAGCTGCCTCATTAAAAACCTTAGATTTAAGGAAAAAATCCCGTAGGGAAAAACTTAACTAAGGAAAATAGTACAGTCGTTCGTCATCTAAGACCCAATCTTCAGGATTGATTCATGTGAAATGATACTCCCCCTCAAGATAACAATCTTTAATTCCCATACATTAAATTTCCAAACTGTATAGAGGGATTTTGTAAATAAATATATACAACTGTCATTTTAATGAATAATCTCGTGACTCTTCTGGAGTTCACGTGGTATAATATTGATATCATAATATCTAGTCAAAAGGATTTCATTATATATCTTTTTATCATTTGTGCAACACAATCTTTATTGACCCTTTACGGAACAACGTGGGTAAATATAGTACAACCAATTTTGGGACTTGGCATTATGGGGATACAAAAATAATAGCCAGTACCCAAGTAGCCCATTGTATATTGGTTTGTCTAAGTATCCAATCAAAATCATATATTGGATAACTGGTGTATAAAAATTTCTTCAAAGAAAAACTCGATCTTCAAGTCGAGATAATACTTGGCTTTCCCAAGCTTTTGTTTCAAAATCTTCGTCTTTATATATGGGCTGACATCATCAAGCCTTTATATATTTCATTGATGTTTTCCACCATCAATATTGACTTAGATAATAAATGATAAATAAGTTCATTATCAACTCTTTATCGAGCACACAATGGTACATATTATTCCTTCAATGAGGATATTAACTCCATTCGCAACCCTTTAAAGAATAAATATAATGACACTTAAATTCTCATTTCGGGAATTATAAATCCATCAGAGATTTCTCAAAATATTTAATGTGCGATTTTCACCTTTTCTCATTTTGAAAACCTATAATCCTTCGGGGACTTTTGAATTTAATATTAGTTGCATATCTAATTTATTATTCTGCCAATGATGTAGCGGAACTTAATGTCATTTATCGTGGGAAAATATGTTTGATTAA